GGGGGTCACTGGGAACTGGGATGTCACCCCTTTGATGACCTCACGTAAAGCCCTGGGCATACCCACTGGTGCAAGGAGAGTCCTTGGATAAGAGCCTGCCATTACCAAAGCCCCATGGTCCAGCAGGCAGCTTGTACACAAACCTCACCCTGCTCCTCCAGTCTGTGCTGCTTCTGTCCATCTGATCATGGGCAGAGAGCAGGATGGACAGACAGAAGGTCTCACACACATAGCTACCAGCAAAGCAATTGGATGCAGAGGCCCTGCCTGGCACAGGGTCTGTACTGAGTTGGCTTTGTTCCCTGGTATAATGGGTGCCACCTGGGTCCCAGGGACTGCAACTGGCATCAGTTAGTTCTCATTGAGCCCAAGCTGGTGCAGCACCCTGGCTCCCCTCCCGGCTACTGGCATTGGAAGTAGCCAGCTCCTAGCTGGGCGTCTTTTACTTCTAGCAACCTCCATTGGCGACCTCTTCTTGATCAAACAGGGCCCACAGCTGCCACCCTCATGACAAACCTGGATGCAAGGCTATGAGAGCAAAGCCCAACCACCACTGTGAGCGGTGAGGACAACTTCAGCAGCAGAGACTCCATTTCCTGTGTCTTATTTCCATTCCTAGAATTTCGTCCCATATGGAACAATAGACAGGCTAGAATTGGTGATGTCATGTCCTACCTACCCAAGTGGCTGCTTTGAAGGCAGACAGTATGGGAGAGGTCAAACCATACGCAGCTGTTTCTGGTGGTCTGATCTTGAGCAAGTGATTTATCTTCCCTAAGCCATGGTTGCCCCATCTTAAAATGGGCTTGGTAATCACAGTACTTAGCTCGTATTTTGTGCAAAAGATTAAGTAAAATAATCCATGCAAATGCATTCAGGGAGTGGTCAATGTTGTTTGCTATGACTCATCTTCTTCACTCACTCAACAAATGTTTTTAACTATCTACTACCTGCTAGACGGTGTTCTAGGCTCTGGAGATACAAATAACAAAGTTGGAAACACGAGAAAGTTCTCTCAGCTAATCACGGTCCACTGTGTAGTTGCAATGCATTTAAACTGGGCAGATCTTAGGCTGTACCTACCTTGATGTTTTACATACCTTTTTTTATGCAGCAAGCACCCCAAAACTTACTGCTTCAAGTAACAGGTGTTACTTCTTTCTCATGACTGTGGGTGGTCTGGGTAGTCAGTGTGCCTGGGTCAGGCTGGCCAGAACTAGATGATGGAAGATGACCTCATACACAGGTCCTAGGCTCTGGTGGGGTTATCTGCAGCCACCTTTTCCATGGTATGTCTACCTCCAGAGGGCTGTGGTGGGCTTGTTCACCAGACCCAAGGGAAGAAGGCAAGCTCCAACTCACAAGCACTGTCCAAGCCTCAACCTGTGTGTCACATTAGCTTTGTTCCACTGGCCAAAGCAAGTCATAAGACCAAGGCAAGAGTCCTCTGGGAGGAAATTGTACCCTGGCCCATTCCTAAGTAGTCCCCAAGCATTGGGTCATATAGCCCTGTATTCGTGAGCTCCAGCTGCCATAACAAAATAACCCAGCCCAGGTGGCTTAAACAAAGGAAATTTATTTGCTCACAGTTCTTAAGGCTGAAAGAACAATATCAAGATACCAGTGTGACTGGGGGCTGTTGAGGCCCCTCTGCCTGACTTGTAGATGGCCACCTTCTCACTGTGTCCTCACACAGCCAGTGTGTGTGCATGGAGAAAGATCTCTTTCCCTTTTCATAAAGCCACCAATCCAATCAGATTACGGCCCCACCCTTATGTCCTTATTCAACCTTCATTATCTCCTCAAAGCCCTATCACCAAAAACGTCAGATTGGGGATTAAGGCCTCGGCATATGAATTTGAGGGGGGCACAATTCAGTCCATAGAAATCCCTAATTTCTAAAATTCCGTGTCTTTAATACATGCATATTTATGTTTTACCTACACATTGCATTAAATAGAAATCTTAAACAGATATATTTATGTATATACATGTTTATATAAATAGAATTAGAGAAAAATATACTTTTAGTATTATTTATGTGTTTTTACTATTAACAACACATCCCAAGGCACAATATACACCTGGGGGGGGGCTTCATCATTAATGACAATGGGTGTAAATCCATCTTTCAAGGAACCTTTTTTTCTGGTAGTGTGGGGGTTTGAACTCAGGACCTTGCTCTTGCTAGGCTGGCACTCTACCACTTGAGCCACACTCTTAGACCTTTTTGTTTTTAATTACTTTTCAGATAGGCTCTTGCAATTTTTGCCCAGGCCAGCCTAGAACTAAGATCCTTTTACTTATGCCTCCAGCGTAGCTAGGATTATAGACCTGAAATACCAGGCCTGGCTTGTTCTTAAACAAGAAAGAATCTCACTAAATTTTTACTCAGGCTGGCTTTGAACCTGGATCTGCCTATCTCTGCCTCCCACATACCTTGTCTTATGATGCTCTGCTCTGTCTGCACTCTGCCTGTTCCTCCACATTCTGTCATTTCCTCTGTGTGTCCTTTACCAGGGCAAGGGTCACTGGACTTCAGACTCATCTGGGTGACTAGGATAATCGCATCTCAAAATCCTCAATAACATCTGTAAACACTGTACTTGGGATTATAGGCATAAACCACCTCGCCCAGCCTCAAGGGACTTCTTGATCATTTTAATTTGGGGGAGGGGCAAGAAAGCTGCCTTCTTGTTGGTTCTCATTTTTATCTCAGTATGTGCTGATGTAGAGTTCCTACTGAAGCCCTCAGCTCTGCTCATTTCTTGTTTTCTGAGACTTGTCTTGTCGATATTGTCTTTAAGCCTCCGTTTCTCTGTAAGAATCTGTTAAAACCATTTTTCCATTTTGTAAGGATTAGCTTAGTTAAACCTGTGCTTCGGGTGACACAGGACCCTCTCTCCTACCCCTTGAAAGAAGCTACTGATGCCAATCAGAATCTTAAAGGATTAGGAGAACATAATTGCTTTCTGATTTTTTAACCCTAAAGTTCCAACATTTTCCCCACTAGCCAGTGAGTTGTGTTGAGCACCCCACTTGGAGACTGTGGGTTTGCTTTGTTAAGGAAAAGCACACAGTTTTGCTCATATTAAAATGTAAACCAATCCCTTCTATGCCCCATGTTAGGAAGAACTAAATGGTTTGTTTATAAGGGTGTGTTCTGTGGAGCTTGGGCTTTTGTAAAATTGGAAGTCTTGGGATTATGACTATTTGCTCACAAGAAACCAGGAGATGCTTCTTATTTCCATCAGCTGGCCCTTCGGGAGAACTTTCTCACTCCCTCTCCACCCCTCATCCCCAGACCACGGACTGGTGTTTAGGACTTCGCTCCTATGACCCATTAGTTTCCTCAGCTGTTAAACTGCACATACTGGGCAGCTTGAAAAAAGTCTCTTCTCTTCCGGAAGTCTGAAGTCCAGTGTCAGTCAGCAGGATGGCGCTCCCTCAGGGGTTTGGCCTCTCGGGCCTCTAGCACTGCCCACGTGCCTTGCTTATGATGCTCTTCTCTGTCATCATGTTGCCTGTTCCTCCATGCATCCATAATTTCCTCTGTGTGTCCTTTATCAGGACAAGTGTCATTGGACTTCAGACTCATCTAGGTGACCATGATGATCTCATCTCAAAATCCTCAATATTGTCTGCAAAGGCCCCATTTCCACCCACGGTCACCTTTGTGGGCACTGAGGGTCACCTCTCCACCCACTGCATGTGCTCTCCCCACAGTTTTTCATGCATGGAGTGGGACCAGCCTGGTCTCTCTCCTGACTGTGCAGGCTTCTCTGCACACCTGTTCCCCTCAAAACACTTCCTGATACAGAGAAACGCCCCCTCCTTGTATTTCAGTGGCTCATGTTCCTGGGGGAAAAGGGAATGCTTGTGACTAAAAGGGCACACTAAGGGCCATTGTGCTCCTTCTCCCTGCCTCCCCATCTCCATGTTTCCCTCCTAACTTCTCACAGCATCCTCTAGGCTGTGACCAGCCTGGTTTCTACCTTGGGGACAGGGACAGCCATTTGGGGTATTGTCACATCACCACAATGGCAGCAAAGCCTGGCAGCTCAGAGGCCAGCCCAGGGCCAGGGAGATTTCTTGTTGACATCAGAGTCAGACTACTTCCCAATTTAGTCAGGAGTCTTCCCCATGACTAGAGCTGCTGGGTTTAGCTAATAAGAATTCGTTTTGGCTAGACCATCAGTGATATTTTAGTGTAACTATGTCCCATGCAATATTTTTAAATCTACAATGCAATATTTAGAACACACTTATTCTAAAAACATTGCTCATCTGGGATTCAAATTTAATGAGGTATCCTGCATTTTATCAGTCAACCCTACCCATGACCTTCCCCTTTCCCTCTTTCCTTTGTTCTTTCCCCTTTCCTTCTTTCTTTTCTTCCTTCCTTCCTTCCCTCCCTTCCTTCCCAAATCCTTCTTGTGAGACTGCCATCAGGGAAGTCCCACACTAAGTGCAATGAAATGCAATGTTTTCCTTCAGGGCACTCAGCTCAGGTGAGAGCTGGTAATCCAGGCCTTTAGCACAATGTGACACCCCCCACTCCCTTCAATGTCCATATAAATGGCCTCAGAGCTTACAGAGAAAGGAACCATTAATTCTGTACCAGACAGAACAGGTCATGGTGGAGGAAAAGAACTTGAGCTGAGGTGCAGAAGCCCTTGGGGGACAGCTGTAAATGAACAGTGTTAGGCCTAGCATTCATGGCTGGGCTGGTAAGGCAGGAGCTACCTGTGTCCTGCATGGTGGTGCAGGAGGAGGGGTCAGAAGCAGTGTTGGAATCAAGTGTGAATGGTTCTTTACTCCAGAGTGACTTGATGGTTCTCTGGCTCTTACAAAAAGACTGAATAGGAAAGCAGACTCCAGCCAGACCCAAGGGGATGGCGAATCTCTCACCGAAATCCACCACAGCAACCTGTCAGGGAGGTCAGCCTGTGGCCAGTGACTGCCAGTGGCCCTAATTTTTGTCCTTTCTTCCAATTCAGGACCCAGCAAGTGACATGGTCCATTTCCAGTGAGCCCACCTCCAGCTCCCAGGGTCTCACAGCCTCCAGCCAGAGCTCGCCTGATGCCTTTCTCTTCCTCTTTCCTCTTTCCACTGTCAAGCTCCCCACCCTTGCCCACCTTTGAGTTCTACTTTAAATAAACAGTGCATTTGTTCTCATTGAGTGGTTTTCTTTCACTTCCTCAGTGCCGACTGCTTTTTAAGAAGGGGACAAGGGGCAATGGGAGTAGTTAACTCTGTGGAAACTGCCACCTCAATATGGTTTTAATACAACAGCAAATGTGGTGACATTCAGAGATAGAAAAAAATCTGTTTTTGAGACCCTTTGCACTCTGCACACATGCATGCACACTTAACAAAAGTCTGTGTACACCAGAACACACCCCAAATCTTTTATATACTAAAGAAAGACTTGTAACATTCAAAGGGAAAAATTTAAGACATATTGTTAAATATACCCTTCATTTTATTTTTGATTCAATATTTTGTCATCCCTTATGGTACAGTCCACTGTTGACCCCAATTTGTTATCCTTGCCTGTAATCCATCGCCTCAGTCATTGGCTCTGCAGTGCTTCCCACAAGATGGGCCCCATGATGCTGATGTTGACCACAACCCTGCTCTGGCCAACGGGCTGTTGGAAGACACAATGCACCAGAGGGTAAGGCAGGTGACACACTGGGCTTGGCCTCTTGTTCCTCCAGCATGTCTGTGAGAAGAACACACCTAAGCTGGTCTGCTGATCATAGGGGAAGAACAGGAGCCAGGTGGCACTGAGCCCCTCCAGCTAAGCACAGTCTCCATTAGATAACCTGCTGGTGGCCTACGGACCAATGAGCTACTTGTCTGAAATCTTTATGGGTGGTTGTTATGTAGCATTTCTGTACCCACAGTTGACTCGTCATTGGGACAGGAATTCTAACAAATATCTTTAAAGATGGCCTTAAAACCTGTTCACTCAAATGGATGCCTCTGAGATTTGATTTTGATGGCTCCTCCATGGCTATGAAATGGAATGACCCATTCCATAGCCTTGATTTCAGAATTTCAAGAAATGTTTCATTATTATGAATAAGCGACTAATAACAGATCTTATTGGTTGCACACCTAAATGCATTCCTTCCTGCTGGCAGTTCACCCTCTGCCCATCCTGGACAAGGTCTCAGGGAAGGTGCCCTCTTCCACCAGAGGGGAAAAATCAGAGTGAATGCAAAACAAGTGCAGTTTGCTGGCTGAAGAGAGAGCAATTACAGCCAATGAGACATGAGAAGTCTGCTGAGGGGCTTTCTGGAAAGGTTTTTCTTCTCTTTAAAATAACTCCAGGAGACCAAACTTCCTCCTTCTTAACTTTTTTTTTTTTTTTGGTGGCACTCGGGTTTGAACTCAGAACTTCACGATTGCTAGACAGGTGCTGTACCACCTGAGCCATTCTGCCAGCCCAAAGCTTCCTTTTTAAAATGCCAATTGGTTATTAGAACTGCTGCCACCATTTTAGGACCGCCCAATTAGCCAGCCTTGGAGTTGCCCTAACTCAGGGCCACTGGGTCTGTGTCCTCACTGTTTACACTCCTTTCTGTTCCTTGCAGTTCAATCTTCCTAGCTGATTCAGTTACCTCTTCAGACGAGGAAATCCATGTTTTTACACAGGTGACTCATCACTGGGACAGGAACCCTAACAAAAATCTTTAATGATGGCCTTAAAACCTGTTCACTCCAATAAATGCCTCTGAGATTTGATTTTGAGGGTTCTGCCTTGACTATAAAATAAAATGACACCATTTCACTCTGTAATGTACTGCCCAGTGATGTGGGGACCCCTTGAGGACGACTTTAGAACCTTGGATCGATCCACAAATGCAGAAACATTTCAACAACTAGAAGATCCCTTTGTAACAGTCCATCCTTCCAAAAAGAGACTCCAAGTCTGTTACCCTGGAGTAAGTATCCTAGATAAGGCTGGCCTGCCTTACCTAGAGGCAGCTGAGTTACAAAAAGGAAACTCAATCCACAAGAAGGCTCTTTCTCCTGCATATTAAAATGTCATTAGATTTCACCTAAACTTGATAATCAGTTAGTAACTTGGTTATCCACCGCCCCCCATCCTGTGCTCAACAGAAACAAGCTCATTCCATGCTTGCTTTCATGTCACTAGAGTGTGCCTTCAATAGTGCAATAAATGACATTCAAGTATGTTAAGACACCTAGACCTCAAGCCACTCCGGACTCATCCAACTTACTCCTGCCTCGGGGCCAACTCTTTTTACCTCTGGAGCCTCTCTCTCCCATTAATGGCCCAGCAAACTCATCATCCACCAGTACAAAGTTCAAGTGCCAATTCCTCTTCAAGTCTGCCTGTACCACTGAGGCAGCACTAACAGGAGGATGGCTGAAGTCAGGCCAGCCTGATGGTAGATCCAGCTCTGTCCCCAGGAAGCTAGGTGACTTTAGTCAAGGAGCTCAGCTTTTCTGAGCCAAGTCTCAGCTCTCTCATCTGTAAAATATGAATCCAAATATATAGATCATGGTTACCCTGCCTAAGGTTTGTACTGAGGATGAAATGAGGCTCTGTCACAGAGCAGAGGCCTCAGTCTGTGTTGGCTGCTGTTTGGGGACACCTTGTCACAGGACCATAAAGCATATATCCAGAGGGACTGCAGTCTAGCTCTTCTCACCCTTCCATCAACAAAGGAACAACCTGGGGTACCATTAGCAGGCAGGTTCTGATTGAGGAGTTTTAGGGACACCTGAGAGGGTTTTTTTTTTTTTTTTTTTCATTTCTTACAAGTTCCAAGGTGTGTAGAGGCTGCTGGTCCCAGGACCACACGTGGAATTAGCCAGACTGGAGGTGACACTGACTTCCCATACTTGTTGAACAGAGAAGGAGCATGGAGCCTGAGAGGGGCTGTTCCTAAAGCCCAAGAAGACCCAGAAAGCTGAGACAGGCGATCTAGAAGCGTCTACCGGGTGGAGCTGAATGAGAGATTTGCTGTTCAAAGCAATGGCTGATTAAAAATAACCATTAAGTTTCCTCTGTCAATTGTGGATATAGTTCTCCACCCTAAGAGCCAAGGCTCCCATTTCTGTCCAAGGGAAGCTGTATTCCTGACCCCAAGGTGGCAGGAAGAGCAGGTGAGCTGGGCAACTTTAAGAGCAAAGGCATTTGGCTCAGAGGAGTGCTGTTCCATCCAGGAAGTGATGGTGTCCCATTCTGTGACCTCAAGGCCTATGACACAGAGCACAGCTTCTAGAAGGAGCAATTGTGGGTACTATTCTTCTGAGAACATCCTTAAAAAAAATTTAAAAGATTTCCAGGAAATTGGTTAGGACCAGGAAGAGCCCTTTCTCTTCTAATCAAACCCCACATTAGGGGACACACACAGTTCCTTCCTCTTGGATGGGGAGGTAACGGTGGCTGATGCAGCACCACCATGTGGTACAGAGACCAGCCCTACAATTTTACCAAGCCTATCCCAGCATTGTTTCTGAATTCAAAGGATATTCTGTTCCATTGTGCTATTGAGGACTGTCCCCACCAAAGAAAACCTATCTAATGGACAACTACCATGGGCTCTACACCCCTTTCTTTGTTAGAAGAAAAGAGACAACTGAGGCAAATAGCTTTTGTCCTCAGTGAGGTGACAATCTAGATGAAGGAAGAAGAAGCAAGTAACTACAAAGCAAAATGAAGAGTAGGGTGGGCAGGAGGACTGCTGAAGGAAGGAGGTGAACTTGAACCCTGGTCTTGCCCTTCAGGCAGTTTTCATAATTCATTTCATGGTCTTATATTCACAATTTTCCTAGGGATGTTCCAAATAGAGGGCAAGTCTTCTAATCTAAGACATAAATTAGACCCACTGAGGTCAAAGTTTGGCTACTGAATTCCACCTCGGAGGCAAGTGTACTAACAAAGAGAGATTGGAGCTTATCTCTACTATCAACACCTTCCCTCTCTCCCTAATCTTCACTTGTTTTTTTGCAAAGCAACATGGGCGAAACAATGAAATTTTGAAACAACCACACATACACTGCTTAACATAGAGCCAGTACCCACAGTGAAGGGCTGGCTGGCAAGCCACACCACCTGGGGGGCAGCGAAAACTTTTTCCAATAGCTGGTATATGACAGATTAGTTATGGGAAGGCGCATTATTGGTGTTGGTTAGATAAAACGTGTACATGACCATGCAGCTGAGGACCACTCCAGCACCTGTTCCAAATGTTAGGCTATAGTGTGGTTAAGTGTCCCCCAAGGGTCCACATGTTAAGGGCTCAGACCATGGCACTGTTAGGAGGTGGTAGAACCTTTCGGAGGTGGGACCCAGTGAGAGGACTTTAGGTCATTGGGGGTGTGTCCTTGAAGATGATAGTAAGAGTCTCTTCCTCTTTCTCATTTTCACTTCCAGGCTGTGATGCAAGTAGCTTTGCTCCACAACTGTGCTCCTTGCTATAATGTGCTGCTTCATCATGGGCCCAAAAGCAACAGGGCCAATTGACCATGGGCTGGAACCTCCAAAATAGTGAACCAAAACAAACCTTTCTTCTTTCTACATTGATTATCTTAGGTATTTGTTACAGTGATGGAAAGCTAGCTCACACAGTAGGTAGACTTCTGCTCGATGCTGAAAATTCCTGGCAACCTCTAATGCTTTTCGCCTACTTGACTGCTCAGAGAGGTCTGGGGTTCCCATTCCCCGCCCCCCCACCCTGGTATCTTTCTTTCTCCTCTGCTGACCATGTCTCTAGGTCTGTCTGGCCTCTTTGGAAACAGCCAGGACTCACTTCAGCTTCAGTTTCAGCTCCACAGGACCTGCTTCCTGCTGATTCTACCCACCACATCAGAGTGAGACCTGGAACCCATAGTTATGAGGTGGTAGGGTCTGGTGTTGTCACTCCCAGAGGAAGGCCCTCCTCCCTGGTGCTGCCTGAGGAAGGGATTTACCTTCACTGAAAGTCCCCACTGATTCCTTCCTTTTCCCCCTCGCTTTTCCTAATTTGACTTTCATTCACAGATGCTTCATTTATTCCACAAACATTGGCTGTGAGACTCTGCATGAGACTGGGTGCCAAGCTGGGCAATGTGCTGATAGACAGAACATGTTGGTGGGAAAGGAGGTAAGGCAGGAAGATTGTAAGTTCAA